ATCCCACGTGCTCCTGAGCAGTCCAGGCTTTGGTTATTTGATGCCGTGAAACAACCGAGTTCTTTTGTTGTTGTTTCGTTCTTGAGGGAACAAAGAGCTAATATCCTCTTGCAAGGGACATGCACAGAGTTTGGCCAAAATATGTTTCAAAAGGTTGAACCATTTGAGGATTTGGAGTAATGAGAATTTTCAGAGCTGGGAGATGAGCCACCACAAATTGTGGTTCCAGGGTGAAAAGGCTATGTGCAGAGATCAGAAATTTGCTGTTTGTTGCATCTTAGCAGGAGACATAAAAAGACTGCTCTTACTGCTGCCTGCTGAAGAAGCTTGGTAACCAAGTTAGCCTTTTCTCCAGGGGCCTCTAAGCACCAAGCACAAAACAGAATTACTGCTGCTGATGCAGATGTAAGGAAGCAGGAGGCTTCAGCAGACTACTCATATTATACACAGTTCAGATTAGAAAACAAGCAGTTAAGAAAAAAGAAAATTAATATTTCTTAGAAAAATACTATAAGCCAAAGAGTAAAACAATAGAACATTTTGTTAAGTCTTCACCTTATACAGTGTAAGATCATCTGGCAAGACTCATCTTTCTCAATCGCTTTGAGAAGAGGTCGGATACCATGAACTACACAAATAGATCAGAATCTTCAATCCCGCCTTTCCAGAAAGGCCATCTGAACTACAGCACTAGCCTTCAGTCAGCAGACACATCGCTATTTCCCCATCTCTCTCATTTGGCAAAACCTCATTAATCCTCCAAGTTTCACTCTCTACAATTACAAATATTAATAGGGTGAGCGGCTGAAAAATACCGTGATATAGACAAAGAGAGAGTAGAGATTTAGTAAGATTCAACACAAGAAGCAAAGGGAAAAGCAGTAAAACAGTAAACATGGTAGAATTCAATTTTCAATTCACTATTATCTGGGTTATAAACACCGTCTTCCACATGTGGGCATCTGAAGCACCAGTGAAGCGGTTTATCTTGCACCCACATGGGAGGATCATAGAACTGCTATCACCCCACAATCCCAAATGCCTTAGCATTAATTCAACATTAGCAAAGAAAGAGAAAACCTTCTCTAGATATGGGGATGCATGTTCAAGCAGAGGATCAATGTGTTCAAGACAAAAGCATAAGAGAAACAAGGAAGCAAAAAGATGATAAAAAAGGCAAACAGATGAAGCAAATTAAAAAAAAAAAATCCTGTCATCCTTCAAGTCTGTGAAAGCTTTTGAAATATCAGACTGCTTATTTCATCCCATCTTCTGCCAACAAATCAGAAAAGCCTAAAAAAATTTGCAGATTTAGTGATTGTTTCAGGACCTATGGAAAAATCAAAGTAACTCATGATGTTTGACATCTCACACAATGAATCCTAAAAGCAGATTTAATTTAATGGGTCCATAACACCTCCAAGTGTAGCCCAGCACATCACAGCTGCCTCTATCTACCACTTTGCAGTGGTTCCTTGGGCAGCCAAGAGGAAAGGCAGAGCTCTTCTGCCAGAGGTTAATATAAAGTCACTGGGATGATATGGGGCAAGTGTCATGTTGCATGGGGGCATACACTAGTTGGACAGTAATCAAGACAAATATTCAAGTCCTTGGTTTACTGTGGCTTCATCACTATTGGTAAAATCATGTGCTAAATGGCAAAGCTGAAAAAAAAAGTGAGATTAATGATATGTGTTATGGCAGTAGAGAGGTAAAAGACCTCTCTAAAGGTTTTTTTTCTCTACTATAAAGATATATATTCCTTATTAAAAAAAAAGAGCTATTCAGTATTCAGAGTCTGGCCTAATTACCATAGTGAATATGTCAAATTGGTAAGCAAAGCACAGTATACCAATGCTCACCAGAAATGTATTATGTATAGGGTAGCTGATGGCAGCGTGATTAGCCCCTATCTAGACAGTCTTTTTGAACAATCTTAAGAGAGATGAGGACAGGGAAAGAGAGAAAGAGAGATATTGGCCAATATTCGGAGATAAATTTTGACTGTACAAGTCAATATTTATATTATATTTATAACAGAGTCCAAGAACAACCAGATGAGCCAATGGAAGTTGTTTTATCAGGATCTGAAGACATCACCTCATTCTTAGCAGGATTCTGCTATCACGTTCAGTTACCATTTAATTATTATAGAACTGTGATTGCATCGTTAGCAGAAGTTGAATTATATCATTGACATTAGTGATGCCATAACATCAAGCCCAGTAATAGTTCATAACAAAACCTACAATTAGCACAATTTTTCTCCTTTTTACACCAACCAAAAGTGTTCAGCGTGGAGAAGGCTAATAGTCCATACAGAAGTGAGCTAGGGCTGAACCTGAAAGGACTGCTGGCTGGTAATTTAGTAATATGGTAATTAAAGTCTTTTCATGATGTAATTACACATCAACTACAAAAGGACAGCTGCTATACAACAGTGCCAGGGTACGTGGCATGAAATGATTAGATTTGAGAAGCTTTAGTGGTTAAACTGAATACCACAGACATAAGTCTGAGGTATAGCTGGCACAGCACGGCACGTTATTATTCAAGTCTCACACTTGGTGTTTCTTTAGTCTCATTGTGATAGTAACAGTTTGTTGTATATAACTTGGTCTTGTGATAGCAGAAGCTGTTTAAAACCTACCTTTATAAGCTTCAACTGTTTTGAAATTGTCTGGAATTAGAAGAGGGTTACTCTTTTGGGCAACTGAATCAGTACAGATGAGGTTTGCATTGATACTTAAAAAATTATTTCCCATCAGTGCAAGCATGAAACCTCCTCTCCCAGACTCCCGTCTGTGGGAAATGTTGCTTGATTTATTTGTAGGGTTTTCACTGGGGGAGTGGAGAGGGGAGAAAGAAAAAGGGCAGAGAAGAATCGCAACCGAGTATGTGAACTCAGACACTAAAGCTCCACTGAGCTTTGGCATTAATTATAAAATCAAGCAACACAAGCTCCCACTTCGGGCATAAGTAACCACCCAAAAAACATGCTCCTCTTCAAGAGCAAGCAAACATTTTGATAATTTGGTTTCCTTATATATAATGGTTTCCTTATTATATTTCTCACTGTACTCATTTGTACCTGTACAAAATGCAAATTTGACAACACAAGGCATGAGATGACAAAAATGAATATATTTTTCCAATAATGGAGAAAGAACTTCTTGGCTACATGACTGGGCTTTTAAAAATACATGACTGCAACACTGGGCACCTTGGCATTAGGCAGACAAACTCAGAGCTGTCTAAAAAGCCCTTTTATTGAGAAGCACCAACTTGGATGTGTCCTAAGAATTGTTTTTCTCCCTTTCTGAAACACGGGAGGTAGGCATTTGGCAGGAGAGAGCCTATTTTATAGGCTTTAAAGGTTCTACAGAATGAATGAGCTAAGAAAAATCTAGAAGTGAGTATATCTGAAAGTCAAAAACTTTGGGCATGCAGGAGCCCTTCTCAGCAAAAAATAAGATTTCCTTGAAGCCTGTCCGCACAGAGCAAACCCAAGGTGGTTTGGATCTGGAGACCCTGCTACCTGCTGGATCTGAGGTAAGAACAGAAAAGCCTTAATTCTAGTCCAAACTGATCTAGCTTTGCCAGTGTTTTAACTTCTCATTTCTGTTCTTGCTCTTCTTACAGGATAGGCTTAAAGATCAATCAAGGCCTCCTGAAGTCTCAGTGGCTTGATCTATGTGGAGCACTGGGGCTACTTCAAGATCACTGAGATTTTCTACCCGTGGGTATCAGGAAGCTCCAGTGCAGCTGAGGTTGCTCTCCAGGAGAGGAGGAATAATCTTGGATGGGAACTGGAAGCAGGCAGTCATTAAGAAAGAAACCTGAGCTACTCAGAAGTGTGTCCTCCATGGCCAGTTTTACACAGCACAGATGAAAGCTACTTTTATTAAGAGACAGTAACAAGTTTTAGCCAACTCAACAGTTGAGTCAGCGGAAGAGACCTAACTGCTCCTCAAATACTACAATAGCCCAGACAAAACATGGTAAGAGTTAAAACGGAATGTAGTGAGTGGCTCTGGTGACCAGATAGGTGGTCCATGCTTGCAGCAACCCTGTGTGAGGACCAGTCCAACATTCCATGTGCAAAGGAGATTCAAAATGTTACTTGTCAAGGAGAACTCGGTAAACAATTTTGTAAGATATACACCAAATTCAGCACATGAATAAGAATCACCAAAATGAAAAAAATAAGGACTTTATGCACATAGAATCATCTGCGCAGCTCAAAGCACCAACAGCCAACAAAACCCTCGGGCTGAAGATATATAACACTGCTCGAGCCTCAGCTCTATAAATACATGGGTATGCACAACACAAGCATGATTTGTGTGTGCACAAGCCTCAGATGCAACTAAATGCATAGTTCTTCAGCAGTCTTCAGCTAAAGACAGGCTGGTTCTATATCTCTGCAGACTTAAAATCACTGAGCTGCCAGCAGAGCACAGCAGTCTGTACCACATAGAGAACAGTTTCTGCAGGAGGCCAGTTTTTCTGGCATCGCTCTGCACATACGTGCAAGTGTCCAAGTCTTGCAAGAACAGTATCATTCCCTCTCTCTGAGCGCAAGAGACTTCCTAGCACGCTCCTAGGCTTAGCTAAATCAGAGAAAACTTCTCACTTATGATCAAGCATCAAACTTCGAACTACATTTAAAACAACAAAGTACACATGATTTTCTTCTGAACTACAGCATTCAGCTCTGAGAAACGGACAAATCTGAGAGCCAGCACAGGGCACAGCAAGAATTGTAACCTGAGAATGTTCCTTCCTCCCTTCCTTTTCCACTGCAGAAACAGCAGCTACTTGCTTACGTATGACTAGTTTCAGTTATATCAAAATTTGAGAGCCAGCTGTCCAAGGCCTCTGTACAGGGAAGTGATGAGTGTCCTGGTCCAGCAGCAGAACAGCACTGCCCGCTTCTAAGGAAACCAAACCCAGTAGATTTGGGCTGAAGAGACAGTCAGGGAGCCACAGTTACTCACCTGCTATCACCAGCATTTGCCACGTAGAGCTTCCCCAATAAACACACCACAACAAGGGCCGTGCAGCCACCAGAAATGTTATACACAGTCCTCTCTCGTTCTATTTGTAAATCCTACAAGAAAAAAGAACAGAATGTTAAAAGAGCTTCTTTCCTAAACTGCAAGCCCCACTTTCTTTACTCTTACAGCTCTGGCTACAGCTCTGGTTCACAGAGATAAGCAGAAAGTCAAAGAGTACCTATTACTTATCATAAAAAATTGCCTGGGAAAATTCAAGACAAGATTGTAAGTAGAAGGCACCAAGGAATATATGGCAAACCTGAGCGATGCAAGAGATTTTGCAATGGAAAAAAAGCAGAGAGAAGGCAAAGATAAACATGGTTTGACAACAGGTGCCTGGTGATACTTTTGCACAGGGCTTCACATAGATAGGGAACAATTAATAGAGACCTGCCTATGGTGTGAATAACAACCTGCTCTCCAAAAGGAATTCTACGGTTGTGGTGCACATATACTTTTACTACAAGCCTCTCCTTCAGAAAAACTTTAGTGTGCCTTACTTCCCTGTGCTTAACTGATGAGGGGAAATGTCATTAAAAGCACATTTACTTGATAAATACTGAGCAGTAATAGGGTTTCCAAGATTAACTGTGTTTTTGGGTTGTGTGTCATCCCACAGCTTTTATGAGGCTTCAAAAACATTGATGTGCACCGACCCGAATTCAGGGATGTATATACCTACTCAAGCAGTTTTCCTCGTGCTCAGATCCCAACTTTTAACCGATTCCAAGTGAAATATTAAACAAACAATAAAAAAAATCCCCCAAAACAGAACAAAGAAAAGAAATTCTTGCTGCCTAATAGAAGCACCAAACACAAGACACATCTATCACTGACAATCAGTCAAGCCCAGGAGTATATATAGCCCCAGAAAAGCACGCAGATCATGTAAAAACATGTAAATGAGCTTTCCAATGCTCGACATGTTTTCAGCAAAAACTGAATCATGTGCCAAGCAACTCATCCCGATGCCTCTTTGTCTGGCTTGTGACAAAAACGCAACATGCTACAAATTACCCTCCTCTCCGATGGCCGGAATTAACCCCACGTGGGGACTGCACACAGGCAGCAGCACTGAACATGGTTCTGGCAGGTGTGGGCTCCTCTTGTCTGGCAAATCTTGCCCATTTGGAGGTGTTTTTAGCACCGATGTATTTGCGTGTGCACACACATATATTCCGAGCTGTATCTCAGCCGCTTCCCACTTTGCGGTGAGCAACAAGCGGCTCAAATCACCCGCGCCTGGGGCTGCGGAGTTGGGAGCTTGATTTTCGAGCTAAATTTATCTGAGGGGAAAAGCGCCGCAACAAATGCTAAGCATGACAGCTGCAATTTGAGTGAAAATCCGCAGGGCTGGAAGCGGCCGGGGGCTGCGCTTTGTTCCCGGCACGTTTGGGAGCAGGGCGGGATTCTCGGGCGGCGGCTGAGGCGGGAGGAGATGGCGCCTCACACACAACACGGCTCCTCTCGCAAACAACAGGGTTTCTCACAGGGTGGCCGAGGCTCTGTGCTGTTTTCCATGAATACGGCCTGAAAAGGGGGGCTGACAGCCCTGCACCTCCCCTGAGGCCACCCCTCAATGTGCCCAGTTGCTGCATCTGGCCTCTCAGTGCCCTACGCTTACAAATCATCTTTTATATTATATTTTTCATGGTAGTGGTCAGTGAGGACCACCCCATGGTGGAAGAAAAGAAAATGCCCCAATGCCCCCAAAAACCCCATCTCAGAGAAGCTTTGCTTCTAGATGTGGGCCTATCCTAAAATGTCATTTTATACAGTGTTGTCACAGAGAAGTTTGATTTTCCTTCCCACAGTTTCTACATATCTTTAAGCTAAGCTGTAGTTTAAAGGAAGCGTTCATTTCTAACCACTAAAGTAATTTAGAACTGACAAACACTACGGAGACTCTCCAAAGCACTGCCAGGAATTCTAGGAACCCCCATCTCTGCTGCTCAGGGCATCCTCTGAGACCTTTAAGCAAAATGCATTTCCTTACCTGGTTTCAGCTCTGTCATACAGGTACTCTGCAAGTGCTGGAACACCAAAATTAAGTTTTATTTCTTTGAAAAGGCAGAACTTAGGATCATTTGTTACAGGAAAGATGAAGAATGGCCCCTAAGGGGCTCATTTATCAGAGTTTCCTTGACTGAAACTAGACATCTGTGTACTGGGTTCTACCAAGAGTTTGAGTCCTAACACCCCAAGATCATTTATCTTTTTTTTTTTTTTCTTTCCTTTTTCTTCTTTTAAACTTTTCTTTTTCTTTTTTTAAAATGTAACAAGTCTTGAGAATGACTTGCTCAGCCAACTCTAACCACACACCTAGTGTTATTTAGAACTCAGATTTATTTCAGATTTATTACTCTGAACTACCAACGGATATTCAGTTCCTGTTTTAAATTGATATGACTTTTTTTTTTTTGAGAAAATATAGGGATGGGGGAAGCTTTACTACATCACAAATTTGAGCCAGGAAAAATAAATAACTAAATAAAACACCACCACACCACTAATTCATTCTGGTGTGGAAAGAGTAGTGGCTTTTAAGGAAATTCTTTATGATAGCAGTGCTGTGAAACCGGTGCAGAACATGCCTTGCAAAAAAAAGGCAGAAGCCCCAGGATGCCTCAGATGCCCCCAGAGGTACCTGTTGCTGTAGAGGGCCTTATTCTGGAGAAGTGTGAGCACATACGAAGCTTTCCTAATCTTCAAGGTGCAGAAAGCTTTCAGAGCATTATATTTTCCTTCTTTTCTGTAGTATATGCAACTCAACAGCAATAGCTGACCTTGCCCTGGATTGCTGGATCTCCCTCACAGCAACCTACTCGCGCTCAAAGTGCTGGAAAGAATCAAATGATGCATTTTCCGCCCCAAAAGGTGGCATATGCCGCTCTCTCAGACTCTAATGGAATCGGAAACCTTTACTGACCACACTGGAAATGGCTACAAACTGCAGCTGGAGCAACAAGGCCCAAGAAATAAAGCATGCCATTAACAGTGGTGACAGCACCTTTTACAGCTGCCAATTGTTCTTAAAAGAGGATTTCTGCATCTGTGTAAACTATCATGGAGAAAACAGCTAATTTGGTCCCTGCTCTGTCTTCTCTTTCTAGACATGTGAAGGAGATGGCCGTTATGGGCCCTGTACTCCTAAAGGTCATTTACACTTGATAAATCTGCTCTCTAAGCCCCCCTAACCAAGGGAGTGCAGGGAGAGGATGCCCCAAGAGGCCGGTTTACAGCATCTTTAGCTGCATCTGGAGGGTGGTCTGGGGGAGCAGCGGTTACTCCTCCTCTGACCACGGAGCGGCCTGTGGCACTGGCTGCCTCCCAGGTCAGCGGGCCCTTGCAGGGGACACCGGTGCCACCAGCGCCTGCCCAGCGTGAACGCGCTGGTTCCCCACGCTAGTTAGCGATGTCCTCCTCGTGCAGGAGGAGGAAGATGACAGCGCCAAGGCAGCGTTTCCCACTGTCGGAGGCGGCTGGTTCCCACGACCACGGCTTGCTCGTGCCACCTCGTGGACGGCTGGCGGAGAGGCTGCCGCAGGCCGTGCTGCGCGCACAGGCCGGCAACGCTCCTCCACGGCACCGCGACGCTCCTCGCCGGGCTCCAGCTTTGCTCCTCTCCCCGTTCTCCATCAGCAGCTTGCTCACGGCACGGAGCTGCTGGGCAAACTGCTGGCCTCGGCATGGCCGGCGTGCGCCCGTGGGAGGGCGGGTGAAAGCAGCGAGCGCGGCGGCACAGAGAGCCACCGCAATCCCTACCTGAGGCCAAATTCTAGGAATTTGGCATTCAGAAGACGTGGTCTAGCCAAGCAACTAAATCACCAAGTCATCATTAGAACTTTAGCACATTACAATAACAAATAACATAACTGCTTCTCATTTGTACCTAATCCTCAGAACTGGGGCCCTTCCCCTAGCATGTGAATCTGGCTCTGACACACAGAAGCTTGACTGTCCACACACAGCGCGCCAGGCCAAAAATTAAGAGTCATTTCATATGTCAGGGGCCCTCAAGTCAAAATTAATTCTTACATGTATTTTGGCCCTGTCAAAATAAAAAGATCTCAAAAGTTCTTGTGCCACCGTTACAACCTTTGACTTATTTCTATTGGCTACATAATCAGAGGATTTTTTTCTTTTATTCAGGGAAGAAGTGAGACATACCTTGTGCTCTCAAGATTAAAGCCATTTTGAACTGAAGCATCTTGCGAATCAACCTGTCTAGGTTTCATGTGTGTTGAAAGAGTCTTAATAGAAAGCATGATGCAATGGATTACAGAACTGTAGCCTTCCGATAAAGCATAAAGCCTGTTTCTGAGGCACTTTTAATAAAAATAATCATTTTATTAAAAATTTAAAAATTTAAAGTTTTAAATATTTAAATTTAAATTTTAAATTATCAATTTTTAAATAATAAAATTGTTAATAAATGGTTCAGTGTGGCATTGGTGCTTTCTCTCCTCAATCTTTAAGGCAGACATTAAGAAGTTCAGCATCATATATAAGCACCCAAGGTGAAATTCAGACAAGGGATTCTACTTTGATGCCAGGACAGTTTAATCTGAGAATACGCCACAGAGCACAGCACACAAATTTATTTCTTCCAGTTCTAAATAAATAAATAAATAAATAAATAAATAAATAAATAAGCATGTCAAACTAGGTAAAAAGGTTAAAAGAAATTCCCACTAGGTAAAAACGACTCCTTGGCAGTGGTGGAAGCAGCACTGAGAAGCTACCTACGTGTCCAGGAACATGAGGTCTCCCCAGGTTCCAGGGGGTGCTCTGTGGTCCTGAAACCCTTGTAAATTACGGAAATCCCAAGTGCACTGAATTCCCTCAACACCGCCCATGAAGTTCTACACAGCAGAGTCTAATAAACAAGGTACTGTGGAGGAAGTTCAAAACCCTCATTCTAGCATTATAAACTAGCAGAAGTCAGAGGCAGGAGGAAGCTCCCCACTTCTCTCCAGCCATCTACGTAGTCATAGGCACAGATGAGACATGGGAGTGCTGATCTGGTGAACTGCTCTCTCACACGGACAGTGACACAAGAGAAGAGCAGTATTTTGCCTAAACCAACTGCAAACGGAGGACACCACCCAGAGATTAAAATCAATATAATTAATTCATTGCTTTCCTTAATTTAGATCTCTTATTTTATAATGTGTTTTTAAAGTAAAAGGTAATGTCAGGACTGTATTACACTGTGGGTCACCATTTTGGGTCACTTCTGTAACAAAGACAGAAGATGAAATTCAGTCCTCACAAAAAGAACTGAAAGTGGGACTTGAGGTACCTGGTACTTGATAGGCACAGAGAGCACAACCAGATGCAACGAGGACATGGGCTTGGACAAAAGGGTAGATCACTAAGATCTGCACCTGGAATACCCAGATAGCACACCTGTAATGAGTTGTTCAGACTCCCTACATTTCTGTTGTATTATGGATTTCCCACCACTGCAATGAACTGTGATGGGTCCAGTCCTACAGCAGTCTGGCATGAGTGGAGCAGAGTCTCCCTCTCCAACTGAAGCAGGATATCGGTGGCCCTCTCTTAAGGATGCTCTGCACCAGGGTGCAGAGGTATAGTATAGTGTAGTATACCCCAGGGTATAGTGCACGGGCATCATCATCATCTTCCCTGCTTCCTCACTGAAGGGAGCAAGTTGGTTTCCCTTTCTGAAAAGGGCACATTACACAGATTTTCACATTTCCTCATCTGCATTTTTAGCTAACAGAGGCTTAACCTACTAGCTGGAGTATGTCCAACTCTCATATAAATCTTCTCAAATGCCACACACTTTGCTGTAAATTTGCTGCTGGGACCTAGGCACCTGAAAGTTGGTCACTGCTGTGCCCATGCCAGCTGAGGATCTCCTTGCCTGCACTTTCCTGGGAGAAAGAATTCAAAAGTACAACTGCCACCACTGCAGCCTAGATGCATGTACTAAAAATTCCTGTAGATCAGGAAAACAACAACCAAATTCTGCTTCTGCATCTCTTGTTAGGCAACAAATAAAACCTCTGAGAAATATTTACTAGTTTAAAAGTTTCCTGCTCAAAAACAGGCTTTCCTAAAAACCAAAGTAAATAATAAGTAAAGTAAACCATAAGCACAGCAGTGTCACACTGTCAGGGATTTCTGATGAAATTCTTGCCTGTCTGGTGGCACATGAATCACACACAGGGAACTGAGGCAGACAACGGCTTTGTCACAGGGAGAAGAACAGTCCTCTGCCTCACGGGGTATAAGAGATTATATTGAGGCTCTTAAACACCATCTGAGCAGGGACAGAATTATCCAGCTGGGAGGGGGGAGAAAGTGGGAAACCCCATAAATATTCTTTTTCTTTCTAAGCAGTGCAACTCATTAACTTACACAACAAGGAGCCGGCATCCCTACAGCACACCTACCATTTCCTTGAACGCACTTTCTATGGCGCCGATTACGAGGCACTCGTGGGGGATCTTCTTCTCCGTGAAGAAGCGCGTCGGAGGGGTGCTGGGCGAGCCCGGGGCACCCACCCCGCCGCGCAGCGAGGCCGCCCGCGTCAGCGTCCTGCTGTTGGCCGCTGGGTGCTCGGGCTCCTCTCCCAGGCAGGTCGGCGGTAGGATGGCCGAGTTCCTCAGGATGTCCACGAGCTCCTGCAGCTGCTCCAGGATATGGTGCTGAAGCAGTTTGGAAGCGACGACGGCTGCCCCTGACCCAGCATGTCCATCAAACAGGGACCAGTAGTATAAGTTGATACCATCTGTGTCCTGGCGACACGGGAGGGGATGAAAAGGAAAGGAAGAGAGAAGGTCACCATCATGCAACCAGGAGTGAAGTCATGGAGCTGCCAGTAGTGCAGCAGCAGCAGGTACAACAGAGGTGACTTTCCCATGCAGGGACCTTTCTGGAAGGGAGAAAGGTCCAAAATGTTAGTACAGCTCTTATCAAGAGAAAGCAACACCCACAAAAAGCTAAACTTGTCCTCCTTCTCACCTTCCAGTCCTAAGGTACCCTGGCCAAGTCTAATTCCAAGACAAAAAGGCCACACAGGACCCTACCTGGTACCTCTGTGACAGACCTTTTCAGTCATAGACATCAGACCAAGAACCTCAGTCAGACAGCTGGTAATAAGACCTGTTCCCCACCAAAGTGACTTGTAGACAAGACCTCTCTGCACTGGCGCATGGGTCAGTGTTAGGCTCTCTCTGCTGGTGCCAAGCCTGGTACCAGAATGGGACAGAGGCATCTGATATGATAGACACACATGAGTCCAGATGCACTCAACCCATAAAAGCTTACATGTTCATCACAGTTCTCAGTCTTTCAGAAAAAAGAAAAATGCTGTGCAGTACTAGAGTTATATACCCTCCAATGAGAAGAGCCAGGCATAGCTCTTTGGTAGACCTCCCAGCATAAAGACATGCTTTTAGATCTTGCCTCTTAGTTCAGTTCCCAGCACGCTATTCTACACAGTTGCTCTCATACAGGCAGAGTATGTATCTAAAAAGAGTGATTTTTTTTCCTCCTAGATTTCATTATTAAAAACAAGGTGTATGTGATAATTTTAAATACTCGTCCAGCAATATGCATTTATCAATAGAGGGTAAGACTTTCAAAGATTTTTTACTCTACAGCTTCCTTGTGGCAGGTAATAATGCTCCATTCTCGTACCAATCTGGATGGTATTTTGGTATTTTGCACTAGACCTCTGCTGAAACAGAGCCCATTCACCCAAGCATGGAAGTAGATCAAATTCCAGGCTGCATAAACTGTGATCTGCTGGAAAATCACTATGAAGCCATAACTTGGATCACCTCAACTCTTAGAAAACTCACTTAGAAAACATGCAGTCTCTTTTCTGCACCCTATTTTTTCTTGACCCTGCATCTTCTCTCAGCTGTGTTACCAAGTCAGATTAGAGGGATTCAAAACAGACAAAACAGCTTATACCATTAAAGCATAATCTACATCTCACTGCAGTCAGAGAACTTGAAGATTATATTTTTTTAATGTTAAGCTGACTCTAGTCTTAATTTAGGATGACAGACATGATCGCAACTCCTCCACCACTATGATACAGATCAGCTTCATTCCCTCAAGAACTGCTCACTTACACAACAGCTTAGAGTCCATGCACCACCTGAATCCTACTACCTAGTTACCAGGGGTGGAAGGGACAAAGTCAATATAAGCAGTGAAGATCCCATGCATTGGAGGTAGATTTGAAGAGCTGCAAGAAATAAGGAGATCAGAAAAGAAGGAGAAACTGCTTTCAGAAAGGAGAGTCCAGAGCTGAAATACGCACATCCTGCTGCTTTTTCTCATAGTGCCTGAGATGTCCACCACCTGTGTCTTGCTCCTCTACTGTTATTTCACACTGTCAAAGCAAGACAAAAACCACAACTGATGAAGCAGCATACATTGTATATCTATTTACTAGGTGTACTACCAAAACTCCTACTCATTTTCAAGTTTATGTACATGACTGTGAATTGCAGCTCCTTTTAGCTTCTGCCCTACCAGAAACAGGGGCATCAAGCACTGACAAGGCAGCAAAGTCCAATCTTAATGCAAAAGTTTCCTTTAGCAAACTATGCAGATGGACCTTCACCACAGGTTCACCCTGCTCAAAGTGCAGAGTCCTTTGCTGAACAAGCATTATTACTTTTAGATTCATTTGATGAAATTCATTTTTAAAAGCCACAATTAAAACTACTACATAAAACTCTGGTGATTTTTTTACCCCTGTGAATGTGAGTGGTAGTTGTGCTACTTCACTCTTGGCTGAGAATCACTCCAGGAACACACAACACTTGGCAGCAAAGTTTCACTTTGAATTACTGACTAATAAATAAATAAATAAATAAATAAATAAACTGCTTGTAAAAATAGTCCGCTATCCATGCAAAATGTGAAATATTTTGTCAACAGAAACAACTGTCGCAGCAAAGTGAAAGTATTTCAGTTGAAAATTGAAAGCATTTATTCTGAGCAGCAGCACTGTGCCTCCTGGGAGCTGTAGATGGAATTATTTCTGCTCCCATTCTTCTCTCAGGGCCTGGCTCCATGGCCAAGCTCCACCTCTCAGATCGCACTGGGGACAGCGGCACTACGGCTTGTGCCTTCATCTCATTCAGTGGGTGCTCTTCCTTTGGAGACAAGTTGCTATTGGAGGGGAGAAAAAAAACCCTATATAAATGGAAATATTTTTTTCTTCCATCTATAGCATTCTAAATTCTGATATTTTAATAAAAATGTTGTAATGACTTCAGATAAGAACTAAGAGTAAAATAATAATAATAATAATGCAACTTTTCTTGAAATTTACCCCAGCAAGTCCCTCTCCAATCCCATATTAGAGCTTGTCAGAAGGTATAGGAGAACAGGTATTAACTCAGTCCACTCACAGCTGCAAGCACAAGTCAACAACTGCTGAGACTGGCAAAGAGCTGCTCACCACAGACTTCTCCTGTCTTTTTCACTTGTCTCTCTCTGTGTTTCTCTGTCTCTCCTCCACCAGCCTTGCTCTGGTGCCTGCAGTGCCTCAACACAAACCTCAGTGCAAAGAGCTGGCCCAGACACTCCAATACACAGGAAAGGGCCTCAATGCAGGCAGAGCAGTTTCACCACCTCATCAGCAGCACAGGCAAAAGCTCCAGCTCTGCCTTCCTCCAAAAGAGACAGGTCAGAGAAAATGCAGCTCTTGGTACTTCTCGACCGCATTGCCTTGTGTAGTCAAAATACATAGGAATATATATATATATATATATATANAAAAAAAAAAAAAAAAAAAACCCAAACAAGAAAACCTGGATATCCCACTGTCTTCCACTCACCTGCTCCTGCCTCCAGTCCTTAAAACCTTGGTCTGAGACACCTATCCATCCTTTTGTGGTCATCCCTCATACAGAAACACTAATGATTATTTTAGCCACAGGGCTGGCAGGCATCGCTCCAGGCAGGGGTGGTCTTCTTGCTTTTGAGTTCTGCTCCATCTTCCCTGGAGCAGAAGAAACTTGCAGCCCTTCACTGACGTGGACACAGGCTTGTCAACCATCACTGTGGTTCTTCATGTGCATTTCATCTATGCCTATCTTTTTGTGGGCTAGTAACTCTTAAACATGTTGCAGTGGCTACATTTTCAGCTAAGTTCAGACATTTCCAAGGTGTCTGTATCCCTCTCTAAATTTCCCCTTATGTTTGATGGAAAGAACTGCACTATCAGACCATCCTCATCTCATTCCAAGGTAAACTTGCTGCTTCCCATAGACTACATAACTAGCTGAGGGGTCTGTAACAAGCAACTGAAGTGAGAGGAGATGACTACCACAAATGTTTCTCACAAATGTTACAGGAAGGTCCTTGCTTTTCCCCTAAAGTTGAGTTGTCCCTGGTAGCCAGAGGCTATTTGGGCATCTGTGTGCAGGCTGTTCATTCCACTCTCACACCCAGGGAGTCTGGGCTTCTTCCCAATAAAGTCCAGAAAAACCCTCAGAGAAATCAACTCCTGCTAGCTACGACAGTGTCCTGCCAAAAGGAGTCTTTGGATAATCAATCTCCTTTTATTCATTTAACCAGCCAGAGCAGACAACTGGGAGTACGATCAGTCAACACACACTGATGTATTTCAGATCTTGTTTCTTTAAAAGATTCAGATTTAACAACACTCTGAATAGCCACTAGATGTGCACAGAGCAAACAAATCCCTCCCTGCACCAGCCTTACAATTCATTTCCAGGATGTGCTAGGAAATTTAATAAGCTTCAGACCCCTCGACTGCTGACCCAGCTTTCAGCCAGGTTCAGCAGTCTCCTGGGTATCGCAATTTAAAGATATAATTAAGACATACAAAGTTTTGAGTCACGGACCAGATGTGAAATTATGACAGTAAAATGCATATAGCTATAAATTATGAGAGCTTAGATTATAAAGAAAAAAAAATGAGCAGCCTTAACAATATATAGCCATTAATTTAGGACATTGTTTTCACATCAGCTAGTAAGTGATCTTACACTGCAGACCTTCAGATATCGTTTATTCATCTAATTCCAAGCTGGCAAATAAATCAGGGTGCCATTACATTTTTATTCTTAAAAAAGCACAAAATCCTTAGCTACTACTGTTCTGAATATGAAGCACATTTACAAGAGACATTAGAACTGACCTTTAAGAAACAACCAACCATCCACCCTCAAAAAAGAAAAAACAAAATCAAACACAAACCCAGCGGATACCAAATAATTCACTTCCCTCATACCTGCTTTCTTAATATTTCTACAAGATGCTTCACCACTTAAATAGGATTTCAAAACAGGTATAGGGATTTTCCCTGTGAAGGGCTTGCAGAACTCAAACACTGTTTTTCTCACAAAATGCTTGCCCATATGATATTACGCCATTCCCTGAAGAGTCTCTTAAGTCTTTATTTCTACATCCTATTGATACAGAAGAGCTGCACCTTTATCACATTTAACACCCTGTTATACAGTCTTTTTGTTTGTTTTAATATTTTAAAATCATACTCAGGGAAAAAATCCTACTAATGGCCAGGTAAGACTGCCCTCTAGTAGAAAACTTGCCCCAGAAATACACTGCTTGTTTGAGAAAAATATTGTGGTCTAGTGATGTGGTGGAAAAAGTTTTACAAAGTTTAATAATGAATGATATAGCACCTACATATGCCACTTAGCAAATGGAGGTGCATCTGCAGATAAGAAAAAAACATAGAAAGAACAGAGCCAAAAGTAGGGTGGAAAAACTTACTGCTTCAGAGATCAGCTGGCTTGCCACTTTGGACACTCTGTTATGATACCATAACTGTATGACAACCATATTAATGGGTGCCATCGAAACTAGTGAGGTCATCACTCAAATAATGAAATGCATTTAGGTGGAATAAAAAGAATACAGGACTCTAAAATGATTAACCATGTAATGTTTGGAGAAAAGTTCCTTCTGAGGAAGACAGTCAGTCAATGTACAACACATGTACTGAGCAAACCCAACAAGCACAAGGCACAATCCTTCATCCTAGATGTACAAACATGTACTTGAAACAACCATATAACCACCTAAATTCAACCTGGAACATCAGCACCAAAAATCTGGAAAAAGGTGATTTTAGGAAAGGAGTAAAAAAAGAAGAGCACGAAGCTACTTGTGAGCCCAGCAAATCCTGTTTGGTACCTGAAGAAGCTGCAGCAAGCAGTAAGAAAGCATAAACAAGCCATTGGCACAGAGGTGGCACATCCACATTGCCCGACTCCAGCAGCCGGTGCTGCAGGGCTGCATGTCCAAACCCAACACATGATGTTCACTGTGGCTAGAACACAAGCCCATAATTAAAGAGGTGATGAAATAATTAGGCAGTCAAGATGCAGATGAAGAACAGAAGACAGCTACTGAAGGACAAGCGTGTGGCTTGCATCACTCTCCACATAAAGGACACTGCGCTTCCCAATCACCCAATTCAGGCTACTGGGTGACCCAGCTGCATAAACAGCTCCATGCAGCACTTCAGTAAAGAGAACCCAGTGACTAATCCCACTCTCAAAATTCTGTGACCACCTGAGCAGGACTTCTTCTACACCTGGAGTGACTCCCATCGGGTAAGTCAACCATGGCCATCAAACACGCAGAACGCTGCAGCAGTAAATCTCATGGGATTATGCTTTGAGAAGTGATACAAAAAGTAAAAAACAAAGCCTCATCTTTAAACTAAAATGCATTAGATACATGGAGGACTTCTCAGTGCAATACTTCAAAAAACAAATTGGACAAGAATGTTCTGTATTTAAGCTAAGTTTATAAATATGAAGTAAACAAAACCACATGAAACAATCAGTAACTATTCCCCCTCGCCTCTGCTTCTAGTCACATCACCACATTTTTGTTTTGTACTGCTTCACTGGCAAGGTATATGTGAGTCTGCTTACCGAGTTTTCTTTCAGCTGGAGACCTTCTCCGTTTGGCAGCGATGACCTCCGTTTTGTTGAATTCTTGTTTGGTGTAGAGTTAGCTCCTCCTGTTTTCTTCTTGACAAAAAGCACTTCACAGCTAGCTTGATCTTCATTGTGTGTGCTTTTCCCTGCATTTATTACCCTTGGAGAGAGAGAGAGAAAGAAAAAGAAGAGAAAAAAGAAAAAAAAGGAAATAAGAATCCAAGTTAGAGAAGCATAATAGCATCCATTTATATCTCATAAGTGACTGAAAGACAGAGATCCACAGCTCAGAAATACTGCAAACACCAACTGAATTAGTTGACTTTTATACACATACATCTATTTATGATACTTATGCATATGTACTTGTTTAATACCTTCCATATTCGCGTATTTGGTTCAATGCATATTTTTTTCATGGAAGACTGTGAGTTAACACAGTATCACCATTATATATTATTTATACCTGTGAGACCCTTTTACAGAGAATAGACTAATGCTTGATGATCATGTCTGATGATACTTAGCCTCCCTGATGAAACATGAGATCCCCATTTGCTCTGCTACCTCCCAGCACCTTACTCACCTTCAATGAATAATGAATTAGTTGGCTAAGGGAGTCTACTCTGACAAGCTCCCAAAGTCTAGCATGAGCAAAATATCTGCTAAAAACCCAAGGAAGCTGTTAGACCCACAAGCAGAGCAGAGAAACAACCGACAACCTTCCATGGATGATCAAGAAAATCCCAATTAACCAACCAACCAAACAAAAAGCCAAAACCCCAAACTCCCCCTATGCCTGCCCCATCCCCAAGGTAACACATCACTTGATTTAAACTGACAGGTTTCAGAGTTCAGCACTGAGGTCTTGGTACAAACTTCAGACATCCAAGGCTATCCTGAGAATTGCACCCAGTTGCCAAGTTCAACACATTTTCCTCTTTCTATGTAATAGAAAGAGTTACTCTTTCTGTAAACAGAAAGAAAGAAAGAAAACAGAAAGAAAACAGAAAGAAAAAGTTACTCTTTCTGTAAACAGATGAATTTTACTTCAGTGGAAGCTGTGTTCAATGAAGCACAAGCTTGGACAGCCCTGCCTCTGCCCTAGAAAACCTGTTCCGGCTGGGGCTGGCGCTTGTCATGCAGCCTCATGAATGAGGCAACACAAGGACTTTTAAAAACAGCTTCTGCCCCCCCAAAGAAAGTAAAACAACTTGAAAACAACTTGATATCTTAACTCCTAGGGCAAGTCCAAAACATATCTGACTTCTTGATCTCCCCAGGTTTCACTACAGTAAAATGTTACATAACAGAAAACCCCTTAATCAAATCTGTTGTAAAGAAAACACAAACTTCAAGGGGGTCCTGCAAGAGACTTTGCATGAGGCTGCCTACTCTTACTCAAACATCAATTTCGTATCAGCTTAGCTTAAGGATAAAGTTTCCTTTTAATTTTCTAAGGGCAACATGGCAACCTGCTACATGAAAATGAGTAATTTTTGCTTGTTAGAAGCAGCACATAATAAGAAAATGCACATCCACTAAAATAAACCATTTCTAGAAACTAAAATTAACCATTTCTAGTTTCTTTGCAATGCCTAATGTCACATACTGCAGGCTGACAGTAGAAAGGCTTTTATGCTTTGTTTTTTCTTTCAGTTAATATGTGTATGTGTAACACCACGAGTTGTTTACAAGTGTCCATTGCACAGAAACACCGACTGTGGATAAAACGTTTGGCACTACAGGCACCTGGAACTGATGAAGGAGCAGCACCAGGCTGCAAGGCACCTGTGAGCAGATTAGCTGCTCTCATCAACTAGGGCACTAGCCCTGCAGCAACCGCAGATCAAACACTAAGAGGCAGTAGGTCTTCTAGGCTGACAGGTCAGCGTTTTCTTGGCATATTAGGAAAAATGGAAGCATATAATCAGAAACAGATATAAAAGCACAAAAAAGCCCAAATAATTTAATTAAAATCCAAATAATTCAATTAAAATCAGCTGATCATCCTAGAGAGAATCTCCGGGCACATGGCGGAGAAGAAGCTGCTGAGGAGCAGTCAGCATGGATTCACCAAGGGGAAGTCATGTCTGACGAACCTCATAGCCTTCTATGATGGGGTGACAGGCTGGCTGGATGAGGGGAGAGCCGTGGATGTTGTCTACCTTGACTTCAGCAAGGCTTTTGACACTGTCTCCCATAACATCCTCATACGGAAGCTCCGGGACAGTGGGCTAGACGAGTGCACGGTGCGGTGGATCGAGGGCTGGCTGGATGGCAGAGCTCAGAGGGTGGTCATAAATGGGGCCGAGTCCAGCTGGAGGCCTGTGGCCAGTGGTGTCCCCCACGGGTCAGTACTGGGCCCAGTGCTGTTCAACTTGTTTATCAATGACCTGGACGAGGGCACGGAATGCACCCTGAGCAAGTTTGCGGATGACACCAAGCTGGGTGGAGTGGCCGACACTCCGGAGGGCTGTGCTGCCATCCAGAGGGACCTGGACAGGCTGGAGAGTTGGGCAGAGAGGAACCTCATGAGGTTCAATAAGGACAAGTGCAGGGTCCTGCACCTGGGGAGGAATAACCCTGGACACCAGTACAGATTAGGGGTGGACCTGCTGGAAAGCACCTCCACGGAGAGGGACCTGGGAGTCCTGGTTGACACCAAGTTAACCATGAGTGAGCAGTGTGCCCTCGTGGCCAAGAAGGCCAATGGCATCCTGGCCTGCATCAGGAGGAGCGTTGCCAGCAGGTCAAGGGAGGTGATTCTGCCCCTCTACTCAGCTCTGGTGAGGCCGCACCTGGAGTACTGTGTTCAGTTCTGGGCACCCCAGTATAGGAAGGACGTGGAGCTTCTGGAGAGGGTCCAGAGAAGGGCAACCAGGATGATTAAGGGAATGGAACATCTCTCGTATGAAGAGAGGCTGAGCGAGCTGGGCCTTTTTTCTCTGGAGAAGAGACGGCTCAGAGGGGATATGATTAATATGTATAAGTTCAGGAAGGGAGAATGCAGGGAGGAAGGGGACAGGCTGTTCTCACTGGTGGCCAGCGATAGGACGAGGGGTAATGGCCACAAACTGAAGCATAAGAAGTTCCGTCTCCAGGTGAGGAGCAACTTCTTTACTGTTAGGGTGACAGAGCAGTGGAACAGGCTGCCCAGGGAGGTTGTGGAGTCTCCTACTCTGGAGGTCTTCAAAACCCGCCTGGATGCCACCCTGTGCCACATGCTCTAGGTGTGCCTGCTTGAGCAGGAAGGTTGGACTAGATGATCTGTAGAGGTCCCTTCCAACCTTAAATATTCTGTGCTGCTGCAATGTTTAATGAGGAGTGTCTAAATACTCAGTTTAGCTGAGCAGTCTCCTCACTGGAGTTGCTGATTATTTTCAATCCCACTTAAAAAGTAGAAGACAAACAGTGACTGTTTTAAGGAACAGCTTTTGTCTCTGTCATTCCACTTAAGCTCCTCTGGTCTCCGAGCTTAGCAACGGGCTTGAGGGCTTTTAGGGCAGAAGATGCTCTGCTCTTTAACGGTTTGTTAAGCTCTGCACAACGCTATCACTTGACAAAGCTCTTGTCAAGAAAGTGTGATGGCACTGAAAGCATCAGAAAGGCTGAGAGAGCAAAGTGACCGACCAAACTAGCTGGACAGTTGGCTACCATGAAACACCTGGAAGCTGGAGCTCTAGGTCAGACTCCTTGGCAGGAGAGGACATGACCAAGGGGAACCCGGTACTCACAAGTCCTTAAAATGCATGGCGGTTAGGGTATCATGTAGTGAAGGGTGAGGACTGGGACTCTAAAAGTTATGCTCCCTCCCAGAACTCCATTTTTTCCCTCTCCAGAAGATAAAATAAAGCTTAATTTGGAAACCTTTGTGAAAACTGGAACCCAGTGTGCACCCAGCCATACCTACGTACCCCGGCATCACCTCCTGCAGCCTTCGGGAAAAGGGCTGCAGTCAATACCCCTGTTTTTTTATCTCAGACCTTGAGCTGTCTGTTGGTAATTACTAACACTGATGCTCAGCACAGAAGCTGGTAACAACTTTACCCAGTTTCCAACAGCTCTGTGTCTTGGCTGTCTTTTGAAATCCTTTTCTCTATGCAGCTTCTCAAATCCTTCCTCAAGGCAATTCTTCCAGTGCCGATTTTCCCCTTGTCTTTGCTTCTTACTCTTTCAGACAGTAACTGACAAAGACAAAACCCACATCTAAGCTGCTTCTACAAATAACAAAGCAGAACTAACAAGACCTGCCTATCTCTAAAAGGCAGTTCTTAACTACACCTCTTGGAAAATTTGAAGAAACACTTATCACCTCCCTCCTTCCTTGCAGGAAGGACCCAACCTGCCTAAGCTTTGTAATTCCCCTTTAGGTCTTTTTCTCCCTATGAAACTCATCTTTAAAAAAAAGAAAAAAAAACAAACAAACAAAAAAACCACCACACACACAAGAAAAAAAGAATACTATGGTAAAGTGGACAAAATGGGATAGAGTGTTACTTTCTCACACTTAAGACACCTTCCTCCCCACACACCATGCAAGTCATCTTCATTCCCATTTTATCATGAAATATGTAAGGTGGGACATGACAGACAGACCCCTTAAGTCCCTAGAGTTTGGCTCCAGCTCACAACGAGCATTCGGCTGCTGCCCGCCGAGGCCCCGAATGCCACCTGAGCAGAAAAGTAGGTCGCTCTGTACCCACATTCTTCACCTGGCGAGCAGAGCCTGCAGACTTCCAGCGCGGGGGTCACTGATCACAGAACCCTACATTTACCTCAAAAGAACAAAACAAGCCAATCTAACAATTCCCAGTCCTGCTTTGGTAATAGTTTATTGGAAAAAAAAAAATCATGACTTAAGTCCTTGCAAAATTTCCACTCAGCCTGCTATTTTTCAGGTCGATATAAACGTATTTGCTCTTGAGGCACTCCCTGGCTATTTTACCTATAGCAGACATTAAACTGTGATTTGCTACAGCAGAAGCTGTCAAAGAAGCATTTTCTCCTCTCCAAGACCTCAGATTCTGCAAAGATTTTTTTTTAATAGTAATCCAAGTACTTTGTATCAAAACAAACAAAAAGCTAGCGAAATTTAGCACGCAGCGTCCTTGGAGAAAAGCGCCGGGACAGGACAGCCGCCTCGTGGGCTCTGTGGCT